TAGTTTTATTCATTTCAAACGGGCCGGATCCGGCCCACGGACCGTAGTTTGCCCACGGCTGGGCTAGTGGCTATCATATTGGACAGTGTAGATAGTGAACATTTTCATCATCACAGGAAATTCTGTTGGACAGCACTGTATTTTATCTTCCATGCCTCTACTTTTGTATGTGTGTGCGTGTGATACAATTATAGTAACTGCTTTAATCCCTTGTCTGCTAATTCTAGCCCTGTGTCAATTCTGGGTCTTTTTGGATTGATTGACACCACCACCACCCTCTTTCATTTAATTATGGGCTCAAAATGGTGGAAGTCTGAATCAGTTTTCAAAGTTGAAAGAAGTAGAACCCTGTTTTCTTACATAAAATCTTACTGGGGAGCCCATTGTAAGTAGATGGCATAAACCACCATGTTGAAATGGGATTGTAGTACTCAGTGTCCACATGTAATTGGCTTTCCAAGAGCATAGTTTTAAAAACCAATGTCATAAAATATTCAAATAATTATTTATATATTATTCTCAAAGATGATGATGCTTTGGAAATTGAATGTTTGACAGTTGTTTTACCTGATACATAAAAATTTGTATATGGCATAAAAATGATACTAAAAGGTATAAATAAAAGGTTTATACAGTCATGTGCCACTTAAAACAGCAGGGATATGTTGTGAGAAATGCTCATTAGGTGATTGTATCGTGTGAATATTATAGGGTGCATTTACACAAACCTGGATGGTATAGCCTATTACACACATAGACTATATTGTATAGCCAGTTGTTCCTAAGTTATAAGCCTGTTTAGCATATTAATGTACTGAATACTATAAGTAATTGTAATACAGTTGTTAGTATTTGTGCATGTAAACATATCTAAAAATAGAAAAGATACATTAAAAATACTGTATAAAAGCCCTGGCTGGTTTTGCTTAGTGGTTAGAGTTGGCCAGAGGACCAAAGGGTCACAGGTTCGATTCCTGGTCAGGGGCACATATCTGGGTTGCAAGTTTGATCCCCGGCCCCAGTTGGAGCATGTGTGGAAGGCAACCAGTTGATGTGTCTTTCTCACATCAATGTCTCTCTTTCTCTCTCTCCCCTCCCACTCTCTGTAGGAATCAATGGGAAAAATATCCTCAGGTGAGGATTAACACACACATAAAAAAAATACTAAGTAAATAAATAAAATATACTATATAAAAGGTAAAGAAAAAAATGCTACACCTGTTTAGGGTACTTATCATGAATGGAGCTTGCAGGCCTGAAAGTTGCTCTGGATGAGTGAGGGAGTGGTGAGTGGATGTGAAGTCCTAGGACATTATTGTATGCCACTGTAGGCTTTATAAACACTATACACTTAGGCTACACTAAATTCATAAAGCAACATAAAGTTAAATAAAGCACAAGAGAACATGATGCAGTAAACATGAGGTATGTGAGACTGTTGCCAGCATAATATGGCATACTGTTTTTATAGCAAACTTTTTTTTTAAATAAGTAGAAAGAGTACCCTCTAAAATATTAAAAATTGTAATACATAGATAAGCCAGTAACATAGTCGTTTATTATCATTGCCCAGTATTATGTACTGGCACTTAATTTCATGTGGTAGTTTTATACTAATGGCAGCACAGTATGTTTGTTTACACCAGCATCTCCACAGACACGAGAGTAACATGTTGTGCTACGACATTATGACATTCAAGATGTCACTAGGCAATAGAAATTTTTCAGCTTCATTAAAATCTTATGTGACCACCATCATATGTGCAATATTTCCTTAATGTTGTTATGCAGAGCAAAATAGATGTCCAACTATTAAGCATACAGAAAGTAAAAGACGGCCAATTTTCACAAAGGTACTTATTTTAAATATAAATGTTATTTATCATAGCAAAATGCTGGAAAGCTACTTACCTCACAAAGTGATGGTATAGTAAGTAGTAAAGTAAATATTCAAATCGTGAAAACAAAACAGAAGTGCTAATATTATTTATTTTAATTCTTACGTGAGGATATGTTTTTTATTGCTTTTTTTAGAGAGAGAGAGAGAGAGAGAAACATTAATGTGGAAGAAACATCGATCGGTTACCTCTCATATGTGCCCAACCAGGGATCGAATCCACAACCTGTTGGTATATAGGATATTGCCCCAACCAACTGAGCCACCTTGCCAGGGCAAGAAATGTTAATTTAAAACAACATACAAAGTACTGTGATCTTTAAAATTTCAAGTAACACCATGTGAAAATGAAAGTAACTGGGGTTTTCATTTTGTTGCACAAACATTTTATCAACATTCTTAAGCAGTGATAAGTATGGAACAAAAGATTGATGAAAACTTGCATTTAATTTCAATAATCATTAACTGTGCCTTTTTTCTTTAAATTTTCCCTTCTTCGCCTACTTCATTTTTTTAAAATAATGATTTTAAAATTTGAGACAATAGCAAAATTAGAAAAGTGTTGAACTTTTGATTTCTTGAGGCATTTGGGAATAAATTGCTAATCTGGTCTGTCTTCATTTTCTAACACTTTTATCGTGTTTTGCCTACAAACGGGTATTCTACACAACCAGAATACAGTGGTTAAAATTAGTAAATTAGTCTCCTTTAATCTGAAACAGTTCCTCAGTTTTTCTTTGACTGTCATGACCTTGATACTTGAAAATTAATAGGCAATTTATATTTTAGGATGTCCCTCAAATTGAGTTTTTCTGATGTTTCCTTGTGATTAGATTTAGTGGATAGTATATATCTTTATGTTCTTTTTTCCTCATTGCTTTGTATCAGGTGGGACATAATTTAAATTTGCTGCATTACTGATGATGTGCTCTTTGATCACTTGATTAGGCTGGTGTTTGCCTGACTTCTCCACTGTAAAGTTAGTATTTACAAAGCGGGGA